TGGCAAGCAGCACACTTCTTGGTTTTCCCGATCAGGACGACAGATAGATGACTCAGTCCCTCTGAGGAGAGAGTCCCCGACCACCACCACCTGCCTCCTTCTCTTGGGAGTGGTGGTCGTGGAACCCCCATCCTTAGGATAGTGCATCTCATGCCTTCCAATCGGTGGAGTCTCCTTCTGCTCCCTTCCCTCAGATGTATCATCTAGTCCACTCTCCGCATTAGTACCTGTGGAGAGAACATGAAAACCGTTGCTCACCTGTATCTGCATTGCTGGTACATGGACGCTCCTCTTTCTTCTTCTGGAGGTCACATGCTGCCAAATTTCATCACTGTCCTTCTGTCCCCGCTGCACAGCCTGCTCTGATTCTTCAGAATGTTGTGCCCATAGAAACATATTCTGATGTTATCGTCTCGTTTCGTATTTGCACTTAGAACCAGCCACTGGGGTCAAAACACTCTTCTAGCCCCAAGAACATCCGAGGAAACAAAAGGAGACTTCTCTTTCCTGCCCTGCCCCCTTCACACCCTTCTGCCCCCACCAAGGGGAAAAAAGTCCCAAAGCAGAGGGGAATTTGGGGAAGAGGAGAGGTAAGGTCCTGGATGTTGGAGGAAGACATGTTAAGAACAAAGTTAGCAATGCTGGAGGGTGGCATTAATGTTAATGTTAGAGCACAGGTTTAAATAGGGGATTTGCAAAGGATAATTTTTTAAAAAGTTCTCCAACTGTCCACAAAGCAAGTCTGAGTAACCACATGAGACTACATCGCCATGGATTTATTACCATCTTCCTCTTCCTCCCTTCTCTCCAATTGTTTGCTGTAGTCATCTGTTGCATCTTGTATTAATTAGATCATAAGCTCTTCAAGGCAGGGTTTAATGTTTTCCCATGTGCTTGTATAGTACCTAGCACAATTGACCCCTATCACTGGGGACCGGGGGGGGCCCTTTGGGTGCTACCACAATACAGAATATTAAAACAGCGGAAGAGAGAGGTTAACTGGCCAAAAATTACAGACACAGCACTCAGAAATCCCTTTTCTGTGGAAGTATAAACAGCAGAAGTATTATAATTTAAAAATGGATACATTATTTAACATTGTGATACAAGGACCTCTTCAGTGCCAACCATCAGATGGCAAGGAGTATATAGAGATACAAGGACTCCTTGGATTCACCAAAACAATGTCGCAAAGGTCTCTAATGAAAGCCTATGTCCCACTGATCATCATAATCATTGTGAGATGTTTGTATAGAAAATATGTGAAGAGTTATATATACACACACACACACACAAAATTATCGTCTCTTGCTCTGTGAGTTAAGACAGGTCACCAAAAGGAAATCCACATACTCCTGGCTGGGTAGGGGCGGACAAGTGCTTATCTCACCCTGCTTGGTCATATGCAAATTGAGTATTGTATCGGTCAACGAACGCCCATTTACAATCTGAGTAAAATGCTAATATATTGGGCGGGAACTAGAGGGAAAAACAAAAACTGCAGGAATTATCCTGTTAGGAGTAACACAATGAACTTTTGAAACTATATTTGGGGTACAGATGAACCCCCTAGGTATTCTCTCAATCTGTGAGGAAAAGATGTCAGTAATCTTATGAGAAGGGGTTTCAACAAAAATGGTTGAAAATGCTGGGGAAAGAACTTGATTTCCTCTATCATAACGATAACATTTTTCTTTAAACTATTAAAACAATTAAGGATCAGTAATGGACATTCATTTTTATAACACCATAGGCATGTGCAATGATTTACAAATAATAATATGAAAAGACTTCTCCCATGGCTCTTACACTCCAGATCAAGGTAAAGAAAAGATAAAAAGAAGTGTTAAACTACTTGTATAGTGTCAGAGGTTTTCATGTGACTTTAAGGCAGGGGCCATATTTATGTGTCTGCAGCAAAGAGATTATAAATTAATTTGGATGAATGGTAATACCAACATTTAAATATGAGGTGTGAGAGACGGAGCCAACAGAGTAAACTGACCAGCAGCAAAGAGAGTAATGGCCTTTAAAAAAATTTAAAGGACAGTGAGTATTACTTGGTACCTGAGAACACAGCAGGTTGCCCATAGCCACACATTTAGACAGTTTACATTTATTTAGATTAACTGTTATGTTATATTATATAGATTAATTCGATTATCAGGGAACTAGAACAGATCAATAGCTGCTTTGTTTCTTAATAAAGTTTGAAAAATGGCAAAGTTGACACCTGACAGTATTTTGGTAAATGAATGAATTACAATAGTAACAATAACAATTTAGCACTAACATAGCACTTTTCACGCAAAGGTCTCTCAACATGATTCAAAAATTTACAGATTGAAAAATTAAGGTGCAGAGAAGTTACCTGACTTGCCCAAATCACACAGCAAGCCACTGGCAGAGAATTCAGAGAGTTGACTTCTGTTCCCAAGCACAAAATCTGTGCCACAGCCAATTGGATAGGCTGCCTCTACATGCAAGACATGTGTTGTACACACCATAGGACCATCCCAAATTCCAGGCAATGGTGCCCGCACCACCATAAGGCAGTGAGATTCTCTGAATGAAGGTCCACATGAAAAAAGATTGCATAGGATTTTTAAACATTATTCCATTCCCTCCCTCCCTAACAAATGATGCATGCATCTTCCTCTGCAGCTACATCTCAGCTTGAAACAAATCCTCGCCCTCCAGCCAGTAAATACAAAATTAATCAACAATGAGTTCTTGATTGTTTCACTAGGCAGATGTGGCTGATGCATTCTAGGCTAAGTGAAACCTAAGAATGAAAAGTGACATTTCTGCAAAATAACCTGTTTTTTAAATTTGTAATAAGAAAAAGCCTCAGTGTTCAGAATTTTCAGAGAAAATAGGCCTTTTTCCACATGCAGGTATCAGGTTTTGTTTGTTTTTTGCAGGTCGGAAGGGTGATGTCTCTCTCTCAACAGGATGAATAAATGAATTACAGAACCAAATAAGTTAAGAAAAACAAAAAGCCGGTTAAGCCCATACAAAACTTTGTTCAAAGCCTCCAAAGCTTTGTTCATCTAGGATAACAAAAATCTCTTTGTCTGTGCAACCTTGCATAAACCATCTACTCCAACTGGCAATGCATGTTACATGGGTTGAACATGAATGTGTGTATTTTAGCTGCACTTTAAGGTTCTCAAACATGTGCTGACCATCTTTTTTATAGTTCTCAGAAAGGGAAAGTGTCCAGGGTTATTTTTGAAGATTATGCATGTACTTATTTCTACTCACATGAGCTGTCCCTTTGATTTCAATGGGAATGCTCATATGAGTGAAGTTAACCAAATGCATAACCGTTTGCAAGATAGAGCCTTAGATTTTTCCAGCTGGCAAACACCCATTTGTTCATTGCTTATACTCAAATTTTTTTTTTTTTTTTTTTTTTTTAGTCAAAATGGTGCTTTCAAGCCTCAAAGAATTGTCATGGGGACTTCTTCCTGAGAACTACAAAGGCAACTGCAGTGATTGATGTGGGAAGCTACAAATCCGCCATACATTTGAAATGGACAGCAATCTAAGGTGTCAATTTTCAGAGAAAAACAGCCTGCTATATTTTACAACTTGGAAGTCAGAGAGGTTTTATATATCAGTTCTGATGAAATACGGTTCTTCAATACAGACTTTTTCAATAAGCTGGTATTGAAGTTTGGAGCATAACCATAAAAAAAAAAATCACACACACCTATATAAACATGCTATTTTGGTCTCCAGTATAAATAAGTTGGAGGGGAAAAAAGAAAAAATTATATCTTAGGACAGAGGTGCCGTCTTTCCGAGTTTCCTGAGGTTGCTTGACCCCCACTCTGCCACAGGCACTTCCCCCACTCCACCTCTTCCCCCCACCCTCTCCCCCAGCGCGCCCTGCCCTTGCTCCTCCCCCTCCCCCCAGTGCCTCCTGCACGCCACAAAGCAGCTCATCGTGGCAGGCAGGAGGAACTGGGAGGGAGAGGGAGGAGCTCATTGGTGGGGCCACCATCAGGCAGGAGGCACTGGGGGAGGGGGAGGAGCTGATGGGGAGAGCTGCCAGTGGGTGCTGAGCACCCACTATTTTTTTCCCATGGGTGCTCCAGCCCCGGAGCACCCACGGAGTCGGCATCTATGTCTTTGGAAAATTCTTAAAATCAGTCAATTTTTAACCGATAACACTGTTCATGTACCCTTATTAATACACATTTACATATATATATATATATATATATATATATATATATATATATATATATATA